AAGGAATTGCGTGACGCGCTGCTGCGGACGTACTCGTCAAAGGCAAAAAATCCATCAAAACTTCCAATTGTGACGTGGATGAATAATTACAAGAATCTTGAGGAGAATTGGATGCGTGACTTACTAACAGGTCAGGAAATAGATTCCGCTTCAACATCAATTCCGCCACTGTGCTTGATATATTGTTTCTTTATTAGCCGGAAAGATGATGTATTTGAAAGCAGTGTGGGAAGATCTGGACAAAAGGAATATTGTAAAATGAAGTGTATCCAATTCCTGAACCGAGAATTCCAAGAGCAATTTACAGCATGTGTGCGACTTGTAGATGACAACAAACGCAAGAAGTTCGGCATTACAGATAAGACRTTTGCCAAGTTTCTTTCTTCCATTGAAGAATGCACTAATTTTGTTTGGTCACCAAAGAATGCAGTCTGTCCTCTCGAGGCTTTTGTTTCAGGGCAGAATTCAACAGTTGGACACGGATGGTTGCGCATCCTTTTGTTTCAACATGAAGGTCGAGAATTGAGGCAATATACTGATCGATGTAAATTAGTTGTTATTCTTCACACTATTATTCGAGGGTTCTGTGGGGATAGTGGTGCTTTGTTGTGTATTGCACTTGGAAAGAAAGGATCAAAAAAGAATGACGTGCAATGGCTCAAACTGATCGCCAGGGACTTAGTTTGGAATGTTCTTCCACCTCCATCACCAAGAGACGACAGTTCCAGAAAGYCATCACCGGGCCTAAAGAGTAGAGCAACAGCTCCAACAACTTCGGTGTCTGATGATTTATCAACTTCTGTACAAGACTCTATTTTGTTGTCTCCAAGTATTATTCCTGGATCAGTRTCATTTGCAGATGAAAGAGAGGAGGACCAGAGGACTTCGCCATTGACTGTCGATGATTTAACATCATCTCCTGCTGATACACCACCATCAAATTCCAAACAAAGATCTGAAACTGCACCATCACCGCAGACTTTCTTGCCGCAGCAGACTCCTTCATCATTGCAATCAACACCGGAAACTCCAGGAATACAAGTTAAGAAGAGGGTTTGCCTTGCCCCAACTCCAGTATTATCTCCTGTTCTTCGAAGAGTTCTATTTATACCTGGTGCTGCTGTTCACCGTTGTCAAAAGACACCCAAGCAAACAAATCGAATCTCACCCAAGATCTCACAGGAGTGCAGACACTTTATGGATTCTATTAGCACTTGCCGAAACGACGAAGAAATTGAGAAAAAAGCCCTTGAGTTTGTTTCACTGAGAGCTGATCGTAGCGGCAACTTGTTAGATAAAAGGATCTATCAGCTCCCCTCACGGTCGGTAGGCGCAACTACAAGAGGAGAAAGCCRTCAAAGGTATGTGCGGTATGCAGCTAAGAGTGTGATAGACTTTATCCAGAGTACAATAAGTGGTGCCGCAAGTGATGAAGATCTGCAGAAGACTGTGCTCACAAAGGCTATTGAAAACAACTTTGATGCGACTGTGTGCAATGAACCGGAAGGGAAAATTTCATCATTGGAAGTGCTTGAAATTCGGAATCGGTCTGGATGGAATGTATCAACATCAGTTATAACTTCAATTACAAAAGATGTCCTGACCCTGCTCAAGAAGAAGAAAATGYTGGTATCAGATAAGAATGTGTTTGAGGGACAGCTGAGGAAGAAGATTGGCCTTCTTGAGCGTGTTAGCGCAGTTCCTTCAAAATTTGAATATGTTGAGTGTTACGTGACGAAAGAAGATGTTGAAAGATGCGTTTACTATTACATTGAGAATATACCTTTACTAATTGAAAGGCTTGTATCCAGTTGTATAATGGAGGGAGAGATGGAAGATTCACTTGCATTCTCAACATATGAGAACAAGGTAATCTTTCGCTTTGGAGCTGATCGTGGGGGAGGAGACTTGATCATGATGATTGGTCTTGCAAACCGTTGTAAAGGGAATCACGGACTCTACTCTATTCCGATTGGTGTTGTGGAGGGAGCAACAGAAACATACTCAAACCTAGAGAAAACATTGTATTCCTCYACTCRAAAAGCTATCCTTGAGCAACTTGTTAACCAACAGCTTTTTATGATACGAATTCAGTTCTTTGTAGAGGATGACAGATCTGCGGCTCCGCAAGATGTGAAGTGTATCTTGCTACGATTCATTGGGGTGAAGAGACAAGAGTTATCATTGATGAAGATAGCGTGTACTATTGGTGGCATTGAGTATGTCGGTATACCACACACTCAAATGCCCCAATGGAAATCACGAGCATATGGACGGGTCACTGCTGATGACGCCTCAATCAGCGAGGACCTACTCTTTGTAACAGACAATGGCAAACGCGAGCTGCATTTAAACCTACAATTGCTTCAGTTAGAAGACCACTTTATTGGTTGCAGAGTGCAAATTCTTGCAACAACAATGGAAGAAATATTCTCATTCAAATTTGACAATGGCGTGAATACAAAGGGTATTGATCTAAATAATTCAATGTCGGATTGCTTGCAACTAATAGGGGTACCGTGCGAAGACGGCAAAATGTGCACTACAGTCTATGGCCTTTCAACTTGTGGATCATCTTACCCCTGTCCCAAGTGCCATTGGCCACTGMGTGAAGGAGTTGCGCCAACTTGGGTAGGAGATCATGCTACAGATGAAGAAAGCGGCCCCAACTCTAACAATCATGCAATAGCAGTACCGACAAAAGATTACCGGGGAAGAACTGGCAAATACAGTCGAAACGAATCCTATTATCATTTTACTGCCCTTATTGGTGAGATGACTAGCGATCCGTCTCTCAGGTTGAAGAAACAGGTGTATAGTGTCATCCACAAGCCATTACTGCACATTGAAGATGACCTTCTATATCTTCACACTGGTGATCCGATGCATGTTTCACAAGGTCTAATGACTCACTTGACGGAAGAAACTGCTGTCCAGCTGCAGAAAGCAACAGAGTTAGGACTAGAATCTCAACCAGACTTTGTCAAGGACCAAACAACAAAAGTGAAAGCTTTCATTGAGGTCATGGCATCTCGTGCAAGTTCCTTTGCATTCAAGCATGCCCAGAATCGATACAAGCAGGAAGATAGTTTAGTGAAGTCTGCATTTAAGGAACTCCGTGCAGCAGGAGACGATGATGACACTGTTGAAGAATGTTATGAAGCTTACACAAGTGCAGTCATGAAAAGAGATGAAGTAGGTCGAGAACTTGGTTACWTTGAAACTTCCAGGAAACTCAACGGAGCTGACGAGTTGCGGTCTCTGCTAAACACTTTAGAGAGAAGTAAGAAGAAGAATTTCACCAAGACTGTGTATCTTTTTATGAAAGCCATCAAGACCTTCTCGGGTGATTTCAATAAGAACCACGGCAAGTATGAGTTGACAAATGCTCGAGGAATGAAGACACTGCAACATAACGAGGAAGTTTATAACATTGTAATCAATGGAACCAACGACGATCCTGCTGTGCTTGAGATTATGAATTGGTGGCGAGCATCTGCCAAGCTTCTCTTGCAGATTTCGACTGCTTTGAAAAGTCAGGACAAGCAGGGAATTGAAGATATCCTGAAACTGAAAGAAAACATTGCTAACTTTGTACAGCGATGGGTGAATCGCCTAGTAACATACGAACGAAAGAATCCATTCTACTGGAAGATGCATATGCTACTGTGTGCCTTGATTCCTTTCATTGTGAAGACAGGAATGAGCGGGCGTTGCTCCACTGAAGGCTTTGAAAACAAGCATCATGTTATGAATAATTTAAAAAGGCTCATGGCACCAATTGCGCAAGACAAGCTTCGATGTGAAAAGCTGTCACAGCGCCAACAATCGTGTCTTATTCCAGGCGTTGATGCGGTCCATTGCCTTTTTGAAGAGGAAGACTATAGAAGAAGAAGAGGTCCCCGTGGTCGTTACAGTTCTTTTGGAAAAAGAACGAAACTCTTAGAGGATCTTCCCATGGCCGATGAACAACTTGGGGGGGAAGCTGAAGCCGTGGAGGGCTACTTCGTTTCACAGAAGAACAATTTGATTCCCAATGAATTGCGAGATATTTACTATTACATGCTGCTTGGCAAGGTCCCAGATGCCTGGTCGCAAAACTTCATCGATAGTGCACTCCTCGGATCCAAGGCATCCAACTCTGCAAGATACATCCCTCCATAACACCATTGTTCTTCTTGTTACTACTAATTCGACAACGACGACAACAACAACAAGCAGCAGAAAGACTTTACCAATGTAGGGTACCTTATTTTGTGATGCCGGGTAGTGGCACTGTCGATGACTATTAGAGTATTCACGAGTTGCACCACACAGTGTTATCAGCGTCGACAACCGAAACGGAGGGGAGCTCAATACTATTCATATCGATACTGTCGGTGAAATCAGGAGCAAAAAATCAAGCAAAAATTCATTCCTGGTACAAATCTGCCGTAGGATTCTACACTGAAATTAGCTTTTCAAGGGGTGACACTGTACAGTTTTCGATAATTTTGATCTGTCTAATTAGCCAATCAGATTGCTTGATTCCTATCGAATTATAGTGTTATCCCTAACTCTAAGAAAACGCCAAATATGGAATAAAATCCGTTTTTCGTGCGTTTTGAACAGCCGTGTACTTTGATTACGTAAAATATGATTAGTAATTTCACTACCGTCCTACGTACCCATACTAGAACTACAATCCTACGTACCCCTTTTCCATACGGTAGAAAAAAAACTTCTGCAATGCCCCCGAAAGGTAGGCGTCACCGGCGTTTGTAAAATCTGTGACATCTTTTCCATCACATCATTGACATCGACCGTTAAAAAAACTGTTCAGTTTCGGAATCCAATTTCTTGGAGAAAGATCAAAAATCATAACGAGAATCACGACATACGTACGTTCCCTGCTACTTTATTGTGCGTGAAAGGTGTCACGATTGATCATCGATTGAGAATGTTGGTAGAAGTACACACTAAAGCCACGCAATTAAACTGCCTCCATCCAATAACATGGGCTAAGCCATCCTTCATAAAAAAGATATCAAAACGACAAAACGGTCAAACGAACGAGTAAAACACTTCTAAAAACACACACAACAACCAATCGACAGCAAGAGTGAAGATGCTGAYGACCAAAATACGACCCTTTGCGACACGCATCGGTAGAATTTCGCACACCAATGTTTCGTCGAAAACAGTCACTAAGATGATGACCGCAGCGAACRCATTCGACACCCATGCGCAGGCTTTTCCAACCCATCGTCGGCTCATTACAACCGACCAGGAAAAGAACTTCCAAGAGCTGGGCTTTCTAGATGCCGAGGGAATGGTTGCCTTTAATACCCTTCACGAACTCCAAGCAAATAGCTCACGCGTCTTCTCAAAAAACGAATTGTTTGGGACCTATGACAAAGAGTCAAAAGGTTTTAATTTCATGACATATGACGASTACAATCAGAAAGTAAATCAATGCCGATCGCTTTTGAAAGACTTGGGTGAGTAAAAACGAAGAAATTGCAATCGGTTTAACTACGTATGCGACTGACAGAGTCTTTTTTATTCACCTATTTTGATTTCTCATCACTTTTTTACACCTTCTTTTTCGAAATTGATAATGCGAAGGGATTAGAGAATTCGCAAAAGTTGCCATTATCGCCAATAATCGTTGGGAGTGGGCTACCATAGCAGCTGCAACCTATTCGTTGAACGCTACTTTGGTACCCATGTACGAAGCTCAACTTCCTTCTGATTGGACCTATATTTTGAATGATTCGGGTGCCCAAACAGTWTTTTGCGCCACTCAAGAGATATTCGACAAGGTTCGAACGGAAGTTCTGCCCTCAACGCCTACTGTCAAGTCATCCTTTTGTTTGGATTCCTCTTTAGGAGAATCTCATGGATTCCAAACAGCACTGTCRTTAAGTGAAATAGACAACGACGGAACTCATATTATTGCTCCTACTCCTGAAGACCTTGCTGGTCTAATTTATACATCAGGAACGACAGGAAAACCAAAAGGCGTTGAATTGACTCATTTGAATTTCTCCTCCAACGTCAAAGGAGCGACTCGTAGCTTAGTGAAGAACCCAAAAGAATTTATTAACGAATCTGACCGATCCCTCTCTTTTCTTCCATGGGCACACTCCTATGGACAAACTTGCGAGTTATGGTCGCTCATGTCTAGTGGAGCATCCATGGGAATCGGTCGTGGTGTTCCTCTTATATTGGAAGATTTACAGCTAGTGAAGCCGACAAATTTATTCTCGGTTCCAACACTGTACAAAAARGTTTTTGATGGTGTCCACAATTTGATGGAGACGGCCCCCCCTCTCCGTAGAAAATTAATGAAGAATGCACTAGCGATGGGGGAAGCGAAGGTGGCAGCCGACAAGAGCACGAGGAAGCAACTCGATCCTTTCGAAAAGATCAAGTTCGCCGTTTTGGATAAACTTGTTCTATCAAAGATTCGAGGTCGATTCGGAGGCAATCTCSTCCGTGGATTTTCTGGTGGAGCTGCCTGTCCTGCTGAAGTGATCGGATTTATGGACAGCATCGGTATCCCGATCTGTGAGGGATATGGCCTTACCGAAACGTCTCCTATTATTACACTGAATGTACCGGAAAATAGAACTGTCGGAAGCGTGGGACGCCCCGTTGGAGRTGTGACTGTWTATATTGTAGATAAGGACGGCAATTCAGTTCCCCCTGGGACTGAAGGAGAAATTTGCTGTGTTGGTCCAAACGTCATGAAAGGGTATTACAACAATGCAGAAGCTACGAACGAGGTTATCAGCGTCGCACCTGATGGAAAATCAAAAATGTGAGTTCATATTGGAAAAAAAACTCGGCATYCTATCTGCCAAACACAAAATTTGTTTAATATGTCTCGAAACTTTTTTATTGCAATATCACGATGTTACGAGTATTCATGATTTTTGTTTTGATTTTTGTCGGTGCGCTTCAATCATTCTTCGCAGGTTTCACACAGGTGATATGGGCACGTTGGATAGTAATGGATGGGTCAGAGTCACCGGCCGTATCAAGGAGCAGTATAAGCTTGAAAATGGAAAATATGTAGTTCCTACGCCCATTGAGAGTGCAATAAATATGAGTCGCTTTATAAATCAAGTAGTCCTATGTGGAGCCAATCGACCGCATAATGTTGCTCTCCTTGTTCCCGAGTGGCCTGCCATTCAAGCAGAGCTTGGAATGGACGATGCAACAGATATTGAACTCGCAAAYAATGAAGCTGTGAAGAAGCTGATTGATGATGAAATACGGCATACCTGTGCTAAGTTGAAGAAGTTTGAGATACCAAAAGAATGGGCATTTGTGGCGCCCTTCACAGCTGCAAACAACATGCTCACTCCAAAGATGAGTATTCGAAGACACAAGGTCATGGATGCCTATGAAGAACTGATATCAACCATGTATAATGATGATGCCATCGTAACTGAAGCCGCTGATGGAGCTCTCAGAGAAGCTGCTTGATAAAGTGATTCCCGTGTGTGTTKTACATAATACCTACAAAAACGAAATATATRAATTTTGCTTACTACTACTACTTGTACTTGAACGTTTGAAYTGCGGCATATTTTCTGATCAAGCATCAAAAGTTGCCTGMTGGTCATAGTTAACGACAAAGCATGGGTRCAATATAGGCACCACTAGCAGTACCACAACGGCTGAGGTGTCGTGATAAAGATTTGGCGCGAAGAAATTTTAATTTTTGATGGGTTCCCGTTCCTCGTGAGAAGGTCGCGGATTCTAGATCGTGGATCGTACGGTAGATCATGTATCGTGACACCGTCCGTTGGTCGTAGGAAAAGAGAAGAAAAATACTTRCCAAGAGTTCGCGTCGATGACAACAATTGTCATCAGATCACGAAAACCTTGAATCCCACAGTATTCGTACGTGATTTTTGACACCCGATTGTAGATTTTCTCTCTTTTCTAAAGAGTTTATTCCTCTCAAGTACGAGTACCGGTACAAGTATTCACAAAATGACATCACGAAGAGAAGAGGAAAATTATGAGTTTGTTGAACAGATTAGGATGCAATACAGTTCGAAAGCTAGTTTCTTCCCTGGGAAGAATTGGTGGTGGGCGCAGGTTCACGACGGCGATGAAGTCGATGCCTAATAGTATGACTTCAATTCGACGACAGGAGGAACTACTTGAGTTTGACACACTCCATGAACTTCAGACGTTAGCATGTGATGTGAGTTGATCATCCAAATCGATCTTGAYAACGAAGAACCATGTGTGACCACTAACTAATAGTTTTCATTTTCTACGATCCTTACTTTGGGAAAGGCTTACCCACAGAATGATCTTTATGGCACTTACAATGAAGAAACTTCTCAATTTGAGTATTTAAGCTACGGAGAATTTGGAACGAAGGTCGAAGAATGCCGTCTGGTGTTGAAGGATCTCGGTGAGTTGATGTGAAGCAGAGAAACGAGTTAAAGGTTGGCAATTTCTCTTCTCACTTCACTTTTGTAGGCGTCAATCAGCATGATAAAGTAGGGATTATTTCAAACAATCGATATGAATGGGCCATGATTGCTGCTGCCACCTACTCACTTAATGCGACACTGGTACCTATGTACGAAGCCCAGCTAGAGAAGGATTGGCAATATRTTATCAACGATTCATCTGCGAGCGTGATATTTTGTTCAACCAATCATGTATTCCATCGACTTCAGAAGGAAGTACTCCATACAACACCCCATGTCCATTCAATAATTTGTTTAGATGCTGTTGACGGAGAAGAATATGGATATAAAGAAGCTACCGGTCGTATCATCGATCAGATGCTGTCCCCACGACATAATTCCATAGTGAGTGCCCCAGATGAAGAGGATCTTGCTAACCTTATTTATACATCTGGAACTACGGGAAAACCAAAGGGTGTTGAGCTCACCCATCGTAACATAGTTTCAAACATAAAAGGGGGAAGATCGATATCGGAAAACCCATTTGATTTACTAGACGAATCGAGTAAAACGCTGGCCYTCTTGCCATGGTTAGTATCATTCGTTGTTTCATAATTGCAGAAGCGGATTCAAATCTCTCAACTTCTCATTTTCTCATCTCTCTTGGGCGAATTCTGAACGGCTGCGTGATCGAAGGGCTCATTCATATGGTCAGACAGTAGAGCTATGGATGGGAATGTCGTTCGGATCAAGTTGTGCAATTKGTAGGGGAGTGCCGTTTCTTTTGGAAGATTTGCAACTTGTCAAACCTACCGTTCTCTTTGCTGTTCCCACTCTTTACAAGAAAATTTATGATGGCGTTCAGAATAAAATGAAGTCTGGGCACTACATTCAGGACAAACTGCTGGAAAATGCAATAGAGATTGGAAGTACAAATGCCCAATTTCAACGAGGAGAACGAGGTGTTCTTAGCTACTCCGAACAGGTCAAGTTTGAAGTTCTGGATCGACTCGTGCTGTCAAAAATTCGTGATAGATTTGGAGGTCATCTCAAATATGGTTGCGTGGCGGGGGCTGCTTGCCCACCAGACGTTCTGAAGTTTATGGACTCGATTGGGATCCCAGTCCTAGAAGGATACGGCCTGACAGAAACCTCACCGATAATTACTCTCAATTCTCTCAGCAATCGATCAATTGGGAGCGTCGGACGTCCCATAGAAGATGTTCAGGTGTACATAATTGACAAGGATGGAAAAACATTGCCTCCAGGCGAAGAGGGAGAAATCTGTTGTGTCGGACCMAATGTAATGAGAGGRTACTACAACAATAAGGAAGCTACGGACGAGGTCATCTGTGTCGCACCAGACGGGAAATCAAGAATGTAAGTATGAAACAATTTCCAAARTAAGACCAGGATTTATRAAAACAAATCAAAATCGTGTCTAATCATTCCTGTAAATGCTTCAGGTTTCGCACTGGTGATTTAGGTTCAATGAACGAGGAAGGGTGGATCAACGTTACAGGTCGTATCAAGGAGCAGTATAAATTAGAAAATGGCAAATATGTGGTACCAGCTCCAATAGAAAATTCTATTGGTATCAGCCGGTTTGTCAGCCAAGTTGTCCTAGTTGGAGCTAATAGACCATACAATGTCGCATTGATAGTACCAGATTGGGCCGTTATCCGTCAGGTCCTCAACTTCGATCACGACTTATCGGATGTTGAGGTAGCTAACAACGAAGAAGTCAAGGATTTGATTRACAATGAAATCCGCATCAGTTGTTCTGGTCTGAAAAAGTTTGAGATTCCACAAAAGTGGGCATTTGTAGCGCCCTTTACTGCCGCAAACAACATGTTGACGCCAAAGATGAGTATTCGAAAGCACAATGTTGTAGAAGCATATGGTGATCTTATTTCACACTTGTATGGAGATGACCCAGTGAACTCAAATGATGCGGATTGTGCATTTACGTATCATGAAGCGGCGTGAATGACGTAGAGGAACATCCGCACTGTATCTATGCCAYATAAATTGCAATTTCAAAGGTAGATAAGAGAAGAAATTAAACGTTTGCTTGCTTAAGATTTGTATCTTTTCATCTGCAGTATTATTCATTGTTTGCCCGAAATACGTCGTTTTTTCCTTGATTTCATATCTTTCSCATCTGCTTTCACGTCGCTTTCGGATTCTCCAGAATGCTCATCGTCGGAAGATTCTTCGTCCCAGTTCTTTACAATAGGAGCATAGAGTAGGCCCTGGGTTAGATTTAAATGCAATTGACAATGCATGTACATTTTCGCAAGAAAAATCAGTTTGAAAAARGCACGCTCTCCACTCTCTCTCACCTTTTTCGAAAGCATGTAATCATCTTTTAGCGCGCCCCATGAAGAACGATTATTTCTGTGACTGTCCGAAGCATCGTTTTCCMTTTTCAGAGTACCACTACCTTGCTGCTCATCACTTCCTTTGGACTTGGCAGCAGCTTTRATTTTGTCCAGAAAGCCGTGTTTGGTCAGCTTCGATGGTTCTTTGTTCTTCGACGAAACGTTGGTATCATTCTACAATAATGGTCGYATAGAAGGAGGGAAAGAAAATTGAAGTGAGTGCATTCTGTTATTCTGGTCATCGCATTGAGTCCTAGTGTAGTGTGATCGGAAAGACCAAATACGCACATCCGAGTTGGCGGTCTTCTGGTGCTGGGTAATCGCATTGAAGAGAGCGACTACACCCCTCGTAGCAACACGTCGATGGAAGCGCTCCTGCTCCAATTCTTTTGCGACCGAAAGTTGACCATCAGGTTGAATAGTGTTCGTCGTTGCGATTGAGAGAGGAAGATGCAAAGCCGTGAGATTCCGTTCTCGATTAGCCCGGCGTTTTTCTTTGATTGCTTTTTGTTGCTCTTTTTCTTTCTGTTGTAATTTCTGCAATGGTGTAACAGTCTTTGCGAGCACAACAGACGACGCAGGGGCARACTTTTTGCTGGAGCTTGTTTGTTGTGTTCCCAARATTCTACTCATGGCATTCGCCATTTTTGTTGCCGGGTCCATGTCTTCCCCTTCTATGCTGCTCGAGTCGTCGACATCGTCGTCACCATCGTCGTCGACAATCGTCTTCTTATCAGTCTTCCTCTCGGCTGGGTATTCGTCACGAGGCAGAGATCCCAAGGAATCATCGTCATCCTCGTCATCGGTGTCATTTTCTTCGTCGGCATCGTGGACATTTTCAGATGTTGCTGCGGCGGGAGCAGGTGATGCCATGGGTTCTTCTTCTTCATCGCTAGATCCCGCGAACCGATCGAGATTTTCTTCTATCTTAGGTACCGCTCGCTTTTTACCTCTCCCCATCTTCGGAATCTGTTCGTTTATTATGAGTTGAAAATTCGTTTCGCAACAGCAAACGAAGTTCGTTTCGATTTCTACTTCTTACTTTACTTATATTTTTTATGGAATACTAAGGCAACTGTCGTGACTGGTTTTTCGGTTGTTCTCTCTCATCAACCGTTCACGAATAAGAAAAAAACATCTTTTTCTTCRTCTCAGCTTTTCATCAAAGATGGGAAACGGATGGTTGTTGTTGGAAGCAGCCCCGTCAATTCATATGTTTCATAGTACATGAGCATACTTTAGTGAGAGACCTACTGTATCCCATTCGTTATTCGTTCCTAATGTACGTACTTGGATAGTACGTACTAGAGCTATTAATGGCAAGTCCCGTACTGGCAAGTTATTGGCAATTCCCGTGCAAATGCTAGTAGAAAAATTTAGCTCATTTTTACAGGTAAATACCGTTATTTTAACCGTCAGTGAAATAACAACAGTTAAAAATGACTTCTGAAAAAATTCTGGCGCGGAGAATTGCTGAGGGCCGCGCCAGGATTTATTCAGGAACTGAACCCATTTCACCCATTGCTTTGCCTGATTTTTTTTAGAATTCGAATTTCATAATTTCAAAACTGAGCAGTTTAAAACTGAGCATCATCATCATCCGTAATCTGTAGTATCAGCATACTCCGTAGTAACAGCAACTCGTATCAGCATCCTCGTCGTATCAGCATCCTCGTATCAGCGGCTCATATCAGCGGCTCGTCTGTATCAGCGGCTCCTCGTATCAGCGGATCAGCGGATGATCGTATCAGCGGCTCCTTGTATCAGCGGATGATCGTATCAGCGGCTCCTCGTATCAGCGGATCAGCGGATGATCGTATCAGCGGCTCCTCGTATCAGCGGATCATCGTATCAGCGGATCATTGTATCGGCGAATCATCGTATCAGCATCCTCGTATCAGCATAGCATCCTCGTATCAGCGGATCCTCCGTATCAGCGACTCGTAGCAGCAAGTCACCGTGCACTCTGTATCAGTGTCTGCGTACACCTCCTTATCAGCAACTCCGATCAGTGTACTCCTCCGTATCATTACCTCATAAAATGGTTGATTGTTGCTTTTTTTGCAAATAATTTGAATACAGAGATCGCAAATCGTCTCCGCAAATAACTTGAATACAGAGATCTGCACCACACGCCGGTACGTAGATTAATGGCACCTACCGTTCAGCTAGTAGTGTAGCAAATGGCTTGGGATGCAACCCCACCCCCCCACCCCGATTAGAGACTGCAGTGCGGAAGCCAGCTTTCAATATTATGGTACGAGATGATATTGGCGCAATTCCGATGCTACAGAATGAGACTAGTAAGTGTGCCTCGTAGTGGGGCTGTGTTGTATCTTCATTCGTGCTATCTACGATTGGTGATTGCTTTGATTCTCTATTATGACAGACTTCTACGTCGATCCAATAACGTAATCTCGGTGTTCCTCGTGAGCGTCAATCTCCCTTCTTTTTCTGTTATCATTTTTTCTTATCCTGGCCTTTTTTGGGGGCCTCCAAAACTCCCCCGTGGCCGTCTGGGATCAAGAACATCCTCTTGAGACAATAATTGTACACTTCTCCGATTGCTGTCCTTATGATGACATGCCCCACGTCTGTGATGAGGATCATCACGTCCATGATGAAGATGCTCTCTTCCTGCCATTGGAGCTGGCCGGTCAGTAGACAAATTAGCTTGGCACTACACCCTTCAGACAGATTGATCTGTGATGAATCAATTGTGCCCCAATTAGATTGACTTGAATGATAAACGGTTGGTTGTTGAGTTGAGTCTCCGCAAACAACGCAGATCACTTGAGTCTCCGGTTGCTTGAGTATCAGCAAACGCAGGCCGGTTGCTTGAGTATCCGCAAACGCAAGAGCCGATTGCTTAAGTATCGAAGCGTCGCACGCCGATTGCTTGAGTATCGAAGCGTCGCANGTTACGGGAATGAGATGCCAGCATATATAACTCATTGCTGGTGGTGGCGTGCGATGTAACAAATAACAAATGAAGCACCAATGATGATCGTTCGAACCATGGTCAGAAATCACCATAAAAATGCTAACAAAAAGCACGGAGTGATGAAATCGGGCTTTCGTACGAACGAGCATCGATGCTTCACTCGTACGTACGATACGAATGAATCGTACGGACTGTACGATTAGGGTTGAGGTTAAACCTTATCTCGAGGTTGAATTGTATCCTCGCACGATTTACTGATTAGGGTTAAGGTTAATCATACTCCTACTTTTGAGACCCTGTTGCTTTTTTTCTACAGTAATTTTCTACAGGGTATAGTAGTACTAGTACTAGTAGTAGTAGTAGTAGTAGTACTAGTAGCAGTACTAGTAGTAGTACTAGTAGTAGTTGTAGATGGCAGGTGTAGTAGATGTATTCTTTTATTTACTATGTACGAGTCTAACAAATGATGAAGCACCGATGATCGTTCAAACCATGGTCAGAAATCACCATAAAATGCTAACAAAAAGCAAGGAGTGATGAAATCGGGCTTTCATACAAACAAGCATCGATGCTTCACACCTACATGTAGGAGGAGTATGTATGTAGTAGTATGTGTAAAAGTACGTACGTACTACGAGTCTAACAAATGAAGCACCAATGATCGTTGGAACCATGGTCAGAAATCACCATTAAAATGCTAACAAAAAGCAAGGAGTGATGAAATCAGGCTTTCCTATGAACGAGCATCAATGCTTCACATCTACATGTAGGAGTAGTACGTATATACATGGTTCGCTCAGCGGAAGGGGGGGTCTGGGGGGGGTGGATTTTGAAGAAACTTTCCAATAGGATGTTTTTAGTCATAGAGCCGGTTAGGTTTTGAACTATAAGAAACATGGTAAAACAATAAAGTTACGGGAATGAGATGCCAGCATATATAATCACTCGTATGATACAAATGAATATGGAGGAGTATGCTGATACGGAGGCTTGCTGATAACGATACAGAGGAGTATGCTGATACGGAGTATGGTGCTGATATGGAGTATGCTGATACGGAGGATTGCTGATAAAGATACGGAGGAGTATGCTGATACGGAGGCTTGCTGATAACAATCATGTACAGAGGAGTATGCTGATACGAGTCGCTGATACAGAGGAGGAGGGGGATGCTGATACGGACGATGCTGATACAGGGGCTTGCTGATGCAGAGAAGAGTGGGATACATCTTTTTCTTGCCTACCAACCATTCAGCAGCTTTTTAGTTGCATTCTCAACCATTGAATACTGCAGCAGAATGCAATAATACAAAAAAATTGGTCATATCTTGATTAAGGGGAATGACCCAATACAACTCAGTATACTCAGTATGGAGGTGCTAGAGTGGCTGATACGAGCCGCTGATACGAGCTGCTGATACAAGCCGCTGATACAAGCTGCTGGTACGAGACGCTGATACGAGCCGCTGATACGAGCCGCTGATACGAGCCGCTGATACGAGCCGCTGATGCGGAGGCTCGCTACTGATACAGAGGCTCACTGATACAGAGGATGCTGATACGGAGGATGCTTATTGATACGGAGGATGCTCGCTGATACGGAGGATGCTCACTGATACGGAGGATGCTGATACGGACGCTGATACGAGTCGCTGTTACAGAGGATGCTGTTACGGAGGATGCTGTTACAGAGGATGCTGTTACGAAGGATGCTGATACGGAGGATGCTGATACGGCTTGTATCAGCATCCTCTGCATCAGCATCCTCCGTATCACCAGCTTGTATCAGCGGCTCCTCCTTATCAGTGAGCTTCCATATCAGCATTTCCGTATCAGTGAGCCTCCATATCAGCGGACGCCGTATCAGCAGCTCTGTATCAGCGGCTCATAACAGCGGCTCGTATCAGGGGCTCACGTCGTATCAGCATCCTCCGTAACAGCAGCTTGTATCAGCGGCTCGTATCAGCGGCTTGTATCAGCATCTCCATATCACCGGATCCTCCGTATCAGCATCCTCCGTATCAGACGACACTGTATCAGATGACACCGTATCAGCGAGCCTCTGTATCAGCATCCTCCATATCAGCACGATTCTCCGTATCAGCGGCTCATATCAGCGACTCGTATCAGCATCCTTTGTATCACCAGCTTGTATCAGCATCCTCCGTATCACCAGCTCGTATCAGCATCCTCTGTATCACCAGCTCGTATCAGCATCCTCTGTATCAGCGGCTCATATCAGCGGCTTGTATCAGCATCCTCCATATCATCATCTCTGTATCAGCATTTCCGTATCAGCGAGCTGTATCAGCATTTCCGTATCAGCATTTCTGTATCAGCATTTCTGTATCAGCGAGCCGTATCAGTGAGCCTCCATATCAGTTAGCGTCCCCCCTATCAGTGAGCCTCCATATCAGCAAATCCATATCAGCATCCGTATCAGCATCCGTATCAGCATCCTCCTCCGTATCAGCATCCTCTGTATCAGCGGCTCATATCAGCGGCTCGTATCAGCGGACACCGTATCAGCATCCTCCGTATCAGCATCCTCCGTATCAGCATCCTCCGTATCAGCATCCTCCGTATCAGTGGCTCCTTCGTATCAGAATCCTCCATATCAGCGGCTTGTATCAGCGGCTGGTGGTATCAACGGCTCGTATCAGCGACTCATATCAGTGACTCATATCAGCGACTACTATGAGTGGACACTGTATCAGCGAGTCTCCGTATCACCATCCTCCGTATCACCGACTTGTATCACCGGCTCCTCCGTATCACCGGCTCCTCCGTATCAGCATCCTCCATATCATTAGCGACAAACCTCCGTATCAGCAACACGTATCAGCGAGCCTCCGTATCAGCAACTTGCATCAGCGGCTTGTATCAGTGACTCGTATCAGCATCATCCTCTGTATCAGTGAGCCTCCGTATCAGCATTCTCCATATCAGCAAGCCTCCGTAGGTATCATCATCTCCGTATCAGCGTCCTTATCAGCATCCTAGTACGTATCAGCAACTTGTCTGTATCAGCATCCTCTGTATCAGCGGACACCGTATCAGCAAGACTAAAACAATACTTCTACTAGGTCCTTTGCTACA